CTGTAACCTGAAGCGTCTGTAACCCAAGGTACCACTGTATGAGGTTGTGGCACTCATCTCGCTTTTCAGGCCAAGGGAGCCGGCGTTTGTCCACAGACAGCTTTCCGGGTCAAGTGGCCAGCATGACTAAACTGCTTCTGGCACAACAGAACACCGTGACGGAAACCAGAGCGCACGGAAATGCTGTTTACCTTTCCATCACAGTGTTCCATCCATGTACAGTATATGTGTATTGGTGTGTTTGTGTCCCAGTGTTCTTGAGGCTCAGGGTCCCACAAGCTGCTAATGGATGCATCCTCAGAGAGATGTATAGCTCCTAGCTGACTGACCTTGCGAGTGGCACTGTGGTCTAAACCACTGAGCCTCTTGGGCTTGCCAATCGTAAGGTTGGCAGTTCGAATCCCCACGACGAAGTGAGCTCCCATTGCTCAGTCCCAGCTTCTGCCAACCAAGCAGTTCAAAAGCACACCAGTGCAAGTAGATAAATAAGGACCACTGTGGCAGGAAGGTAAAAGGCATTTCCGTGCGCTCTGTTTTCCGTCATGGTGTCCTGTTGTGCCAGAAGCGGTTTAGTCATGCTGGCTGCATGACCTGGAAAAGCTGTCTGTGGACAAACGCCGGGTCCCTTTGCCTGGAAGCAAGATGAGCGCTGCAACCCCATAGTCGCCTTTGACTGGACTTAACCATCCAGGGGTCCTTTACCTTTTTTAACCTTTTCTACAGTTTGTGTATTGGTGTGTTTGTGTCCCAGGGTTCTTTAGGCCAAGGGTCCCACAATCTGCTAATCGATGCATGCCTCAGAGAGACCTATAGCTCCTGACTGGCTGGCCTTGCCTTTGGGAAGGAAGTGCAGACCTCTGGGACGAAGCTTCCAAGTGCACTACATAAAAAGAGACTTCTGGCATTTTCGTATTTCATGCTGATCGTACAAAATTGATTTCTTGAATGCGGAACCTGTGAGCTGTGTTTGAAATGAATCCTCGATGCACATTCTCAGCCATGTTCCATGTATTTGCCATGCACTTGTGTACAGAATTTGCACACGTTCTCTTTTGTTGTGTGCATTTGCTGTACATTGGCCGACAACTGAGAATAGGAGGCACAAAGAAAATGCAAATGTTTTGTGTGCTTATGTTTTCCATTTATAGGCTGTCTTTTGGTTGTAAGCGAACCTTGACTGGGCTTCCGTAATTCGTGTACGTTCACTTGCAATTTTTGTGATCACACGGGAAAGCACGGCCGGCGTGCCAGAGTTTCCAACTAATGTGAAACTCGGCGAGGGATTGGATTTCTCACATCTTCCCCAGTTGTCAGAAGAGATATTTTCAATGAATCTGTATCTTCGCTGTGTTGTTTATGGCTCTGCCCTTTGCAGCTAATGGAGCAGACATAGGGACATGGGGAAACTGTCGCGCCTGCAACTTGCTTGCCGTGGGATTCGACTGCCTCTCATCAGAGCTGGTGTTGTGTTAAAGAATTTCAACCCGATATCTGTCAGAGAAGGTGTCAGGAGGTCAGCCAGGACCCTTAGGGGATCCCCCTTGATAGCCTGCCCTGTCCTTAGGAATCATACACACTGGGTGCCTATTGTCATTGGGCAGAAACAAAATGCTTGCACCCTGCCCTAGAAGAGAGAGAAGCAGATGGGGGTCAGGAGAGCCAGTTGCTTGCTGGCGGCATTAACACAGAGAAGGGGCAAGGGTTCCCCAGCTGATACAAAGCTCAGGCGCAGTGGCTGGAGTCAGGCAAAAATATCTGGAAATGTCTGATAAGCCAGCCCTTACCTTGAGATGACCTTTGGAGCAAACACCTGTCTGTACGCAGCTGTGAATCTTTGGGTCTTGTCCTCCTTTTTCACAGTTTGGGATTCTGTGCAGCAGGAGGAAAGTAAAGGGAGCTCTGTGTTTTCCAAGGAAGTTTCAGTATTGGGAGCGATTCTGAGTGAAAAATATACTGCCTCTGAAGAATGATAACTAAAAAAATTTAAGAAAACAATGGTGTGGTGTGGTGTGGTGTGTGTGTGTTTTCCACAAATAATACAGGTTCGAAGGGAGAATTGGGCCATGCATTAAAAAAGGTAAAGGTAAAGGACCCCTGACAGTTAGGTCCAGTCGCAAACGACTCTGGGGTTGCGGCACTCATCTCGCTTAACTGGCCGAGGGAGCCGACGTTTGTCTGCAGATAGTTTGTCCGGGTCATGTGGCCAGCATGACTAAGCCGCTTCTGGCGAAACCACAGCAGCGCATGGAAATGCTGTTTACCTTCCCACCAGAGCGGTACCTATTTATCTACTTGCACTTTGACGTGCTTTTGAACTGCTAGGTTGGCAGGAGCTGGGACCGAGCAACGGGAGCTCACCCCGTCGCAGGGATTCGAACCGCCAACCTTCTGATTGTCAAGCCCAAGGCTCAGTGGTTTACACCACAGCGCCACCCGCGTTCCTGGGCCATGCATAATTTAGTTGCATATGAATATCCAACAGATTATTGTTCTGCGATCACATTTCATGCAGAGATTGCTATATTTTCCCCCCCTTTGCATTTGTAGTTTTCTCTGTTGTGAGGGATCCAGGCTGTATTGTGGGCTTAACAGATAACAGGTAGCTTATTTCCTCAAAGATTACCAAGTTGAAAAGGTGCAGGAAGGCAAGTAAGGGCTGGATGAAAGGAAACCATCATATAAACCAGGGATGTGGAACTACAACTCCCATGATCCCTGACTGGGGCTGATGGGAGTTGGAATCCAACAACATCTGGAAGCCACAGGTTCCCCATCCTTGATATAAATGTACGTTGCACAGGTAGGTGCATCCATTCGGTGGATCTAATCCAGATTCTTGGTGGGCAGAAGGCAAAGATTAAGGGAGAGATTGAGGTATTAATATATTTGATTTTTATGTATGTGTGTTTGTGTGTTCTTTCATCCTTCATCTCCCCCCCCCCAAAAAAAAAGAAAATAAATGAAACTTTCATAAACAGTTGGAGAACTAATCTGGGGTGGGTCAGATGTAATAAGGATGTGGGTGATGTATCAAGTGCTAACCAAGAGACGTCAGGCTTTTCTCAGGCACCCTGGAAAGCTTGCAACATCTTTCTCTTCCACAGAGCTTACTCAAGGACTGTAAAATGTGCATGAACATATAATAATAATAATAATAATAATAATAATAATAATAATAATTTATTTATACCTCACCCATCTTGCTGGGTTTCCCTAGCCACTCTGGACGGCTCCTAACAGAATACTGAAAACAGGATCAAACATCAAACATTAAAAGCTTCCTTAAACAGGGCTGCCTTCAGGTGTCTTCTAAAAGTCAGGTAGTTGTTTATTTCCTTGACATCTGATGGGAGGGCATTCCACAGGGCGGGCGCCACTACCAAGAAGGCCCTCTGCCTGGTTCCCTGCAGCCTTACTTCTCGCAGTGAGGGAACCACCAGAAGGCCCTTGGAGCTGGACCTCAGTGTCGAGGCTGAACGATGGGGGTGGAGACGCTCCTTCAGGTACACTGGGTCGAGGCTGTTTAGGGCTTTAAAGATCAGCACCAACACTTTAAATTGTGCTCGGAAACGTACTGGGAACTAATGTAGGTCTTTCAGGACTGGTGTTATGTGGTCTCGGCAGCCACTCCCAGTCACCAGTCTAGCTGCAGCATTCTGGATCAGTTGTAGCTTCCAGGTCACCTTCAAAGGTAGCCCCATGTAGAGTGCATTGCAGTAGTCCAAGCGGGAGATAACCAGAGCATGCACCACTCTGGCGAGACAGTCTGCGGGCAGGTAGGGTCTAACCCTGCGTACCCTGTGTTCAAGGGAGCCCTGGTGCTTGGAATCTATCTCTTCCTTCAAACCTTGTGGCCCTCTGTCCTTTCAGCCCCAAACCCTCCAGTTTGGAGACCCCCCAACTGGATCTTAATCTTCCGAAGGGAAATGCTGGCCGCCTCCTCCCTCCTCCCCTCCACCTCCCAGGGTCCAGCAAGTCTTCGCTTGAAGCGGGCGCCGTCTAGAGAACGGGGAGAGTCGTCTTTCTTGAGATGCGCCCATTCCCCCAGTAGGCCTGACGGGAAGCAAAGTAGCGGAACTTTCCCATTCGGAGGGCTAAACTGTGCCTCTTCCCTCTCAATTATTCTGTTGTGACGGGACCCGGAGACAAATTGGCATGTCAGAGGCAGCTGGAGTGGGTTTGGAAGGAGAATTGTGCAAATGAATACAGATGGGCTTCAGGCGGCTGGGCCGGCTCGCCATTTAATCCAGGGCATGTTTGCAATAAAACAAGCGCTTCCACGCCGGGGTCTAAATTGGATGAAAATTGTCCTTGAACGGCTACATAAACCAGGAACTGTTGGAGAGAGAGAGAGAGAGAAACAGGGAGGGGGCAAATAAACACTGGTTGTTTTTAAAATTAGGGCTGCCATTTGTCTGGATTTACCCGGACATTACCTGGATATTAGGCAAGTCAATTAAAAAAAAAAAAAATCACAATTTTTTTTTGGCAATTTTGGGGTGTTCCTAAAAAAAAAAAGCTCAACTTTTGGAATGTCCTGGTTTTTCCTTTTTGCAACCATGGGTGTAGCCGAGGAGGGGGCAGGAAGGGGCAGATGCCCCCCCAATCAATAAAAACCAATAAAAATACTGAGGTTTTGCCCCCCCACAACAAAAATCCTGGCTAGCCCATGAGGGCAACCCTAGACTAGGTGTACAGATTTGGAGAGCGGAGGTTGGGGGGCGGCTTTGTTTTTGAAAGTGGGTTTGGACCGGTTTGGGGGGGTGGGAAGGAGCTGCACGTCTCCCAGGGCAGCCGGAAATCCATCTGTCTCCTCTGCAAAATGTAAGCAAAGCAAGGCGAGGGCCCGGCAGGGCTTTATTGAAATGAAAATTGACTTGATTGTTGGGGATTACGGAGCGTGGCATGGAACGGCGCGGCGGATAATAGATTTGTTAGCATAATAGAGCCCGTCGCCAGGAGCTGTTAGCTTCATGCCTGGGTGGAGAGCACGTTTTTGCGGACAGCTCGTACATCACAAGATGGAGCCCCTGGAGGGCCCACCATCAACAAGGCAAACAGCGCGCGCCGGATCCGACCCCCCTCCCTCCGACATCCCTGCTGACAAGGGGAGGGGTGTGTGTTTTTGTATGTGTGTTTGTAGGGTGGTGTATTAGGGAGCCAAGCGAGAAGAGGTGCGGGCCCGAGGTGTGTGTGAGAGGGCAGGTGGGAATCGCCGTCAAGCTTTTATTGGCCGATGCTCAGCAAAGTTTTATGGGATCGTAAAATGCCCGGAGGCTGCAAGAAATGAGAAGGCGAGGGGATGCATAGAAACGGCACACTTCTCGCCCCTCTGGTCGCCGGCGTGGATGTGGGGCATCTGGCACGCAAAGGGGGAGAAGATCGTGGGGATTAAATAGGCCAAGGCAGGCAGAATTATGCTAGGGTTGCCATATTATGAAGAGCAAAAAAGAGGATGCTATGACGACTCTCATTTCAAATCCCCCTACTGTATGTAGGCTATATTGCTGAGGGTGGGGGGCAGGAGAAGAAAAGAGGAAAGCAAGTCTTCGGCCACCAGTTTTGTCTAAGTCTCATCCAGAAAGTATAGCAAGAGACATTTTGGCAATTTTTTTAAAAAATCCACCCAGATGGAAATTTTACCCCTGAAAAAGAGGACACATGGCAATCCTAAATTAGGCTAACGTGTCTTCTTTCTTTCTTTCTTTCTTTGGCGATCACTCATAGCCGAGTAAGATTGTCTTCCATAAACACAGTTTTAACAATGAGTCTGTAAGTGACTGTGGAGGCCAATTCTAGATCCACACATCCTTCCACAGCAGGAACATTGGTTTCCGGGCGGGAGTTGATCATGGTGTGGATTTGCCAAGTGTGCCGTCCTCTTAGCACGTTTCTCCCTTGCGTCCTGAGTTCGAGTGTCTTCAAAGCCCATGACACCTTTGGTAAAGGCCGTTCTCCAACTGGAGCGCTCGCAGGCCAGTGTTTCCCAGTTGTCAGTCTTTATACTACATTTTTTTAGATTTGCCTTGAGACAGTCTTTAGACCTCTTTTGTTGACCACCAGCATTACGCTTTCCATTTTTAAGTTTGGAATAGAGTAGTTGCTTTGGAAGACGATCATCAGGCATCCGCACAACATGACCAGTCCAACGAAGTTGATGTTGAAGAATCATTGCTTCAACACTGGTGATCTTTGCTTCTTCCAGTACACTGATATTAGTTCGCCTGTCTTCCCTAGTGATGTGTAAAATTTTTCGGAGACTCAGTTGATGGAATCTTTCGAGGAGTTGGAGATGGCATTTATGAGTGGTACATGCTTCACAAGCATATAGTAAGGTTGGTAGTACAATAGCTTTGTAAACTTTTACCCTATTGGTCACCCACCTCTTCACACATTCCAGCTTGTCGATATCCTATGGTGCTCAGAACTTGAATTGGTACTCCAGGTGCAATCTGACCAAGGCGGAATAGAGTGAAACCTATTACTTCCCTTGATCTGGACACTATACTCCTGTGGATGTCGCCTAGAATTGCATTAGGTTTTTTTGCTGCTGCATCACATGGTTGGCTCATGTCGGGCTTGCAGTCTACTAAGACCCCTGGTTCCTTTTCATACGTAGTGCTGTCAAGTCAGGTCTGGGTTTGATCCTTTGGTAAGCTAGGCTGAGAGGCTCCTTCCCCAGCTGAGGAGGCAGGGCTGGTGTGCCCGTATGTGCATGCCGGGGGGGAGGGTGTTCGTGGGAGACTATGGTGTGGCCTCACCCACTTTTGCCCACATCCACAGCTGGCATGCAGCCCCACCTCCTCCCCCAGGCTGGCCGTAGGCGAATGTGGACTTTCGGCCACCCTTGATGTAGGGGCCGAAGAGCAGGGTTCTAACCATATCAAAACAAGCCTGGCACTTTCCGCAGGTGCTCATGTGCCATCTAAAAGTATTGCCCCATACATACAAAAGATGAACAGGTTAAATCTGCAATGCTACTCTGGGCAAGGGATTTGGGGCATAATGGAAAACAGATTTGAAATTCACGGCTTGTTGTACGCTGAAAGAAAATTATATGAAAATGATGTACCGGTGGTATTTGACTCCTAGTAAACTAGCAAAAATGTATAGAACAAGTACAAATACCTGCTGGAAATGTAAGGAAGAAGAAGATACCTTTTATCATATGTGGTGGTCATGTAAGGTAATAAAGGCTTTCTGGGAAATTATATACGGTATACTGTAATGAACTGAAAAAAATGTGTAAAATATTTTTTGTAAAAAAACAAGCCAGAAACCTTTCTATTAGGAATTATAGGTACCAACATTCCAAAGGAGCAGAAAAGACTTTTGATGTATGCAACAACAGCAGCACGGATGCTGCTACTCCAGAGATGGAAAGAAGAAAGAGTCCCTGCCAGAGAGGAATGGCAAACTAAGCTTGTTGGACTACGCCAAAATGGCAAAACTGACCGGAAAGCTCAGAAACCAAGAAGACAAGAAATTCAAGAAAGAATGGGGAAAGTTTATAACAAATGCACACAACAAAAGGGAACATGTGCAAAGTCCTTGCACAAGTGCATGGCAAATACATGGAACATGGCTGAGAATGTGCATCAAGGATTCATTTCATACAGAACTGCTAGGTTGGCAGGAGCAGGGGCCGAGCAACGGGAGCTCACCCCGTTGCGGGGATTTGAACCGCTGACCTTCTGGTCGGCAAGTCCTAGGCTCTGTGGTTTAACCCACAGCGCCACCCATATATTCCCAGTCTTTGGGTGTCTTGTCTTAACTCAGTGATAGGCCACCCCCAAAACAGAGGAACGGGAGGCTTAGTTGAGGAGGAGCACCCAGAGCCTTGAACCCATTTTCAGTGCCTCCCACCTGCACCCACAGCTCTGCTCTTCCTGACTTCGTCACCCCTATCCATGTGCATGAATACACACACACACACAGAGAGAGAGAGAGAGAGAGAGATACTACTTTATGTTGTATAATATAGTATCAATTAAAGTGTTTGGCCCTAATTGGTGATAATGAGCCAAGCTTCCCCAGAGATGCTGCAGGCAATTAGCAGGACCTGCCCCACCCCTCCTCCCCCCCCCAGCCCCATTTACTGGGCTGCCTGGCGGCAGGCCTGGCTCTCTGCCCGTCGGCTGCTCGGGAAAGCTGCTCTTTATTAAGGGCTCCTGAGGTGCAGGCAGGTCCCCGAGCTGTCAGCCCGGCCCGCTTTGCAGTCTTGTCACGCTGTTTAAATTGGGCTCAGCAGAAAGCAATTTAAAGAGTGTCAGGGCAGGCGGCTGACTCTGGTGGCAAAGGGCCCCCATGCCGGCGGCTTGATAAACGAGATCCAGCCTGCCACAGCGAGGTCGATAACCAGCAGGCTGAGCATGCTGTGGCAGAAAAGGAGGACGGAGCTGGGGGGGGGTGTGACCCACCCCTCGCCCCTCCGAAACCCACTACCCTACCTGGGAAGCTTGCACCATTCCTCACAGTGCCCCCTACTGGAAGTGGAATGTAGAGCAGGGCCTGAAATGTTATCCTGCCCTATCCGGCCTGCCTGGGCTGGAGCAACTCAGCTAAATGAAGTTAACCACGTTTGCGGAAATTTAGGTTCACGGCATACGTTTAAAGCAGGCTTCCTCAGACTCAGCCCTCCAGATGTTTTGAGACTACAGTTCCCATCATCCCTGACCACTGGTCCTGCTAGCTAGGGGTCATGGGAGTTGTAGGCCAAAAACATCTGGAGGGCTGAGGTTGAGGAAGACTGATTTAAAGCACAGCCACATTCAAGGCATATGACTTTCCTCAAAGAATTCTGGGCGCCGTGATTTGTTAAGGGTACCTGTGTTTCAAATGGGCATTGAATGGACTTTAAACATGTGGTTTGGCTCTTCCCCCAGTTTACGAGGGGAATGAAGTCAGGGAGGACATGACAGAATTGTATAAATTTATGCACAGTGTAGGGAAAGGTGATAGAGAGAACTGTTCTTCTCTTCCTCCCCACCCCCTCTCTTTCCCCCTCATTCAATGAGGCCCAAATGTAGAAGGTTCAAGATAAATAAATTAGGGCTGCCATACGTCCAGATTGTCCCACTCATTACTGGCATTTCAAAGGCGGAATTGGGGGGGCGGGGCAGATTTCCAAAAGACAGCGCTTTGTCCTGGATCTTAGGCAAGTCAATGGACTTTCGGGTTTCCCTAACTGAAGCTCAAGGAAAAAGCCTCGACAACTTTCGGGGTGTCCTGGTGTTGAAACTGAATTACTCCTTCACAGAACACATCCTGGTCTGACTGCACTGGCTACCGGTTAGTTTCTGGGTTTGACCTATAAAGCCTTAAATGGCTCAGGACCGCAATACCTCAAGGACCCCCCCCCTCTCCATATGAACCTCCCTGGACTCTGAGATCATCTTCTGGGGCCCTTCTTTGTGTGCCTCTTCCACAAGAAGTCTAGGAAGGAGGCAAAACGAGAAAGAGCCTTTTCTGCAGTGGCTCCATGTTTTGGTCGGCGCCTTCATTATACACCTTTAGGTCAGAAACATTCTTCTTTAACCAGGCCTTGGGCTGATTGACATCTGATGCCAGTTTAAAATGTGTCGTGGATTATTGGGTTGTCTTTATTTTTATTATGTATTTTCTGTTTCTTATGCAGTGGTACCTAGGTTTAAGAACAGCTGAGTTTATGAGCAACTTGGATTAAGAACACTGCAAACCCGGAAGTAGGTGTTTTGGTTTGTGAACTTTGCCTTGGAAGCAGAACATGTTCTGCTTCCTATTGAGTGTAAATTGAGTCCTCCACTGCTATGGGAAAGTGCATCTTGGTTTAAGAACGCTTTGGTTTAAGAACGGACTTCCAGAACGGATTAAGTTCATAAACCAAGGTACCACTGTATTGTGATTGTATGTCGCGAACTCGGGTGCAGGGCAGTATAATTTTTATAATAATAATAATAATAGTTATATTTTGTGGTTCGCTTCCACAAGGGTGTGTGCGTGTGAAAGGCATCAGGGTATCACACTGGAGACTCAGGTTGAAAAGGATGTGTGATGTTTGTGTAGTTCAGAGAATGCAACTGAGCAGGGGAGTCACTGTGCCAGTACTTCATACAATATCGACCACCCCCATGCAACTTTGCACACTTCACAGTAGATGCTGTAGCTACCTGTGCATTATTCTAAGACGCTATCACATTTTCCAAGGTGCAACACATGGACTATCACTGCGTGCTTGGTAAATGCAATATCCCTCCAGTGGAAGTTATCATCTCGACCAAAACACACACATATACTTTGAAACAACTGCGCTGTTAATGCTTAGTAACCCAATTGTACAGAAAGGTCCAATGTCTACAGGCCTTTTCTGACCTTCCCCTTCCCTGCTGACATTTTAAAAATGTGTTTAGAGAAGTGGCCAAAAAGTAACTGAGGATGCTTGTCTTTTGTCATGTTGGAAGGGTCAGACAAGAGGATTTAGTTCTCACTCTCTCTCTCTCTAATTTTCATTTATAACAAATAAACATTTCAGCAATAAAAAAGAATTTAAACAATTCTCACATATCAAACCTCGAGTTCCCTATCCCTTTTTCAGCGGTTCCATGAATTTACCCTCTTTCTTCTTCTGCATATCCCAATTAACTCTATTTATTCTTTTCCTCCTCTATTTCACATTTGTTTTAGAAACTGCAAGTTTTTACCATAATCCTGCTAATGTCTTAGTTTGTTTGCAATTTGTTTGTAAATATTCAATAAATGATTTCCATTCCTTAATAAAAAGTTTGTTATCTTGATTTCTTATTCTTCCTGTAGGTTTTGCCATTCCTGCATGGTCCATAAATTTCTGTAGCCATTCTTCTTTCATCAGGACTTCTTCTTTCCATTTTTGGATGGATGCCATTCTTGTGGCCGTAGTTGCATACATAAATAAATTTCTGCCTTGTTTAGATAACTCTGATCCCTTAATTCCCCCAAAAAAGGCTTGTTTTTTGTTTACAAATGTAATCTTAAACATCTTTTCCAATTCATTATATATCATTTCCCAGTAAGCTTTCGCCTTATTACAAGACCACCACATATGAAGAAAGTTACCTTCATTCCCTTTGTATTTCCAACACATATTTGTTTTTGATTTATACATTTTTGCCAATCTACTTGGTGTTTGATACCATCTGCTTAATGTTTTCACATAGTTTTCTCTTGAGCCATAATGAGTTCTGTATCTTTTAAAGGGGAAAAAAACCTACTTTCAGAGGTGTTTCCATAAGAATTGCCTAGCAAGATCAGACTTCAGCATTCTGCTTCAAAGTGCTACATGCCTTTAGACATATGAAGGTAATTTCTATTCAGTAGGGACGCGGGTGGCGCTGTGGGTTAAACAACAGAGCCTAGGGCTGGCCGATCAGAAGGTCGGTGGTTCGAATCCCTGCGATGGGATGAGCTCCCGTTGCTCGGTCCCTGCTCCTGCCAACCTAGCAGTTCGAAAGCACCTCAAAGTGCAAGTAGATAAATAGGTACCGCTCCGGCGGGAAGGTAAACGGCATTTCCGTGCGCTGCTCTGGTTCGCCAGAAGTGGCTTAGTCATGCTGGCCACATGACCTGGAAGCTGTACACTGGCTCCCTCGGCCAATAAAGCGAGATGAGCGCCGCAACCCCAGAGTCGGTCACGACTGGACCTAATGGTCAAGGATCCCTTTACCTTTATCCAATATTCAGAGGTAGACTGCTGCTGTAACTGGAAGGTCTGTTTACATCAGAGATGGGGAGTCTGTGACCAGGAGGTCTCTAGGTTGGTTGGAATGGCGAAACTTTGCAGAACTACAGAGCACTCTCCCAAGATTTCCCATGCCGTGAAGGCAGCTGTTCACTGAGTGCCACCCGTTGACCTCATGTTTCCTGACGAGAGAGCCGGCTGCAGATATGAAGGGGCCAGTAATTTCACCTGTCACTCAGGCAAGGGATACGTTATTGAGCTTTGTGGCAAGTGAGATTGCAGAGCGAGTGAGGCCAGGGTCCCGGGGGTGTCTTAGAGAGAGCCTGCTTGTCTCCCTGCAACACACCTAAAAGCTTTGTCGGGGTTGCGGTGATGATGGTGGTGCTTAAGGTTTATTAAGAAGTCCAATTCCAAAGAGCAACCGAGGAGCTCAATCTTGGACCCTAATGCTGCAGAAGAACCAGGTAGATCCATTTGTGGAGAGATCCAGCACGTGTGTAGGGTGAAATCAGAGCAGTGTCCTTGTGGTTAGTCCGCTGTCTTGAGAGAAACACTGTTCAGAGAACCCAAACGCTACCTGGGCAGCCTTTCCATCAGACAGTAGCAGAGGAAGGAAGGGAAGCGATGGAGGACCACTCATCAACACAGCTGAGAGACTAACAACTTTCCCCTCCTCTTCCCCTTGAACTGTTTTTTTGTCCCAGCTGGTTATTAGTAGAACTTGCAGCTAAGAAGTTTTCTTTTTTCCTCTTCCCTCCCAATCAACTTTCCTTTCGTGCCATGTCTTTCAAACAGTAAGCCTGTTTTTATTGATATGCAAGCTTTTCTGGGGAGCCTTTTTTGCAGAATGGTGGGCCTAAAAACCCTTTCAAACAGGCAAGTAGAGGAATAGCCCAATAACTCTTCGCTTACGGAGAGTTGGGAAACCTGATGCTTCCATGGAACTTTGAAT